GGGTCGGGTCTGGCTCACGGTAGACTTTCACATTGGTTGTTCTCCCCACGGTACAAGGAAGCTTTGCTTCCTTAAACGGCACAGTACTGCAGAAAGCCAGGGATGTGAGAACCCCGCGCGGCGTTTCGCACACCCCTGGAAGCAGCCTGCTGAAGGCAGGAGCTTATCCTTTCGTCCGTTCAAACGGTGGACTGCAGAGGGAAGCTAGGATCTGAATTTACAGGGACCTGGTCACCGAATGGGAACGTCTGAAGCCGGCGTGCCCGGTCCCGAGCTAGAAGGGCCTCCAGCAGCGTACGGGGTCACACCGCGGCCGATCAGCGATGCCACCACGCACACGGCGCAGACCAGCTCGGGCCGTGGAAATTCTCATCCCAGCTCACTCTGCATTCCGCTCCCCTGACGGAAAAGCTTTAAGTCCTCAGCTAGACAAGGTATAAAAGGATGTCACTGCAAGGTAAAAAAAAAAAGAAAGGAAATAAAAAAAACCCAACAAATTTCGAAAGCAAACTTGAAACAGGACCATAGGCTTGGGGAGAAACTCTTTAGTATCTGCAGTTTGCCTTTTTGGTGCAGGTAAATCATACATACATTGCAGATAGGCATGCATTCTTTTACCTGAAAATTTGCGCATGCACCCATCAGAGGAGATCGAATGGCCAAAAAAAGGCAAAGACAATTCATAATAAACCCCAGTGTAGTCTGTGATGGGCGAACTGCAAAGTTCATACAGTACTTCATTATTTCTACACTTGTGGTGTCGTCACCAAGTTTACGTAGGAGTTGTGCACATTTCAACATCATCGAAGCAGCATTTGGAAGAAAAAGCAGCAAGTTCCTCAGGGTTTCCATAGCTCTGAACTACATAAAAAATATGTGCTATGGGGCTTCTTTCCAAATTCTAATTAAAACCAGTTTCATCTACTGCAAAATTCCTTATTCAACCACCACACCATCAAAAGTGCTTTTCAAGACAACCTGAATTGCACTGTATATGTAAAAACTGGCGTTAACCTTTAGTGTTTAAGTGAGATTTTTAGATAAACTTTATCCATTACAGGTTACATGGCTAAAGTTATCAAATATAATAAAATTTCTACTGGAGAATATACTCTGAACTTACAATCTCAGGAACTTACATAAGTTTAAGTATGGCCACATCAATCAACATGCAAGAAATTCCCAGGTTTACATACTGAGAAATATATAACAGTGCTTTTAAAAAAAACCTTTAGCATAGATTCTTCTTTTTAATTAGACCTGCCAAGTGTATTCTCACCAGATTTAATGGCCGAGGAGTAACCCTTTTCAAAAGGTGTTTTCTCATTTGCAGCAATGTTTAAGTGGATGAAAGAGTAAGCGATAAAATGATGTATGGTTTGTTTCACAGCAAGACGGGAGTTCTGACAACACGAAATTCTCACTCGTGTCCGAGTTCTCAAATTTCACACAATTTTGTTTAGTGTATGCTGGCTGGAATAAAATCCCTATATTTTAGGTCACTTCTCTGAATAAATATTGTTACATATACTGAAAGGAATCTATTAACTATTAGAAGAAAAAAAAAATGCAAACCAAACAAAAAAAAATTTTTCAGGAAACAAATCTTTTCACTCAATGAAAAATTTAGCTTCTCTTCCAGTTTGTTCCG